TTTATTCGTTCCTCAACTCGCCCATATATCCAGTTTTTCCCCTTACTTTTACTTTCTGTAGCCCCTTGTGTACTAGTGGCACTCCCACTTTGCTTGGGGTGAATTGCTTATGAACAAAACAAAACAAAAAAGAAGTTCTTGGGAGAACAATCAGTTAGGTGTTTTTCCCCAACCTGAACACACCTTTGCTGTATTTTACAGCATCATCTAAGGGAGGTTACTCTGTTATAACCATAACTTAGTCTTAACATATGAAGTATTTCTACTTCTTTGTTCATTCTCCTTTCAGTCTATATAAATCTATTTTGATTTTTGACGGTGTGAGCAGCAGCAAAAAAAAGTTGGTTAGCAAGTGGTTGATACTTTACACTGAAGTGACAAAACAGTTTTGACTGTTTTAACATCATTACATTATTCGGACTATTGTCCTCATCTTTGTCACCATATTCATTACATAAATAAATAATAAGTAATAAATATGGCGACAAAGATGAGGACAATAGTCCGAATAATGTAAATAATGTACATAATACCTCATCTCAGAAATATAGACAGATACTGAAAGAACGAAACGTTGTGATAAATATGGCGACAAAGATGAGGACAATAGTCCGAATAATGTAAATAATGTACATAATACCTCATCTCAGAAATATAGAGATACTGAAAGGCCGGAACGTTGTAATAAATATGACGACAAAGATGAGGACAATAGTCCGAATAATGTAAATAATGTACATAATACCTCATCTCAGAAATATAGACAGATACTGAAAGAACGAAACGTTGTGATAAATATGGCGACAAAGATGAGGACAATAGTCCAAATAATGTAAATAATGTACATAATACCTTATCTCGGAAATATAGACAGATACTGAAAGGATGAAACATTGTAATTAATATGGCAACAAAGATGAGGACAATAGTCCGAATAATGTAAATGTCTATATTTCTGAGATAAGGTATTATGTACATTGTACATAATACCTTATCTCAGAAATATAGACTAATATCATTACTCATCCTTTCAATACAATTTTCAATGCAGAATTCAAATGGCAGAGAAGTCATCTAAGGGAGGTTACTCTGTTACTGTTTCTTTCTTTGACACTGTTTCTTTGGACCAGCGAAAAAATGGTGTCTCAAAAGGACATTTTTTTTTTCATGACACTGCAGTTACTGTGTACTTTCTTGGTAGTCCTGGGTATGACGACAAACTATATGTGACAGCAAGGCCTTTGATCAGGAGATTGGAGATTTTGAAAAAGTGGAATCATCTCTTAATTGCTGTTGTTCTGTTCCACCCTGACCTGGGGTAGTAGCACCTGCTAGGGTCCCAGCTATGGACAAATAGTGAACCCTTATACAAAAACAAAACACTATGAAAGTATAAAAATACATTTTTATAGTAAAAATACCAACAATAATTTTTATATAAAAAAATTACTGACGATACATATTTATAGTAGAATTACCGACAGTAAATTTTCTACCAAAATAACCAACAATACATTTTATCTGTAGTTGAAGCCATAGAACGATGTTCAAAATATTTAAATATCAGCATTAAATAACCCATAAAGGTGTTAATATGCTGCTAAATGAAATCAACCAAATCATCAAATCCCTTAGCAATCCCTTGTTTTAAAAAGCAATGATTAAACTTGTAATCAGCCCCAGATTTACCTATAGGCTTAGCAGCTTGAAGCCTAGGGCCTCAAAATCTAGAGAACCTCCAGCCAAGGTGTATAATATTTTTGACAATGTCATAGGCTTTTCTTACGCATGCTGTCATAACGCATTGTAGACTCTAAACAAACTTTCAGTAATTTTAAATATCTGTAATCATCATCAACTTTACTTAAATTGTTTAATTTAACATTCTTCCATTTTCCTCTACTCTGAGAATAGGTGATTTGGAGAGGCCTCAAAAGTGGAATAGCCTAGGGGCCCTCCTTTCATTTAAATCCAGCCCTGCTTATGTTCAACTAATAAAACATTGTTAAAAATCAAAAGCTCAAAATAAAAGCCAGGCTGTTTATAAATTCACTTGCCGTATTGGAAATAGTATCTCTGAAAATAATAAAAATTGGATTTAAGTAAGTGAAACCCAAGTTCTTTCTCATCATAATTCCAACCATCTTAGCGGTGCCAGATTTACCTATAGTCTTAGCAGGCTGAAGCCTAGGACCTCATAACATAGGGGGAGTATCCAGCGAAGGTGTATAATATTTTTGACCCTGTCATAGCCCTTTCTTACACATGCTGTCATAATGCATTGTAGACTGTAAAAAACCCTTCATTAATTTTCAACACCCATTATCATGCTTGGCTTTAATCAAATTGTTTAATTTATCACTCTTCCATTTTCCTCTACTTGTGAGAATGAGGGATTTGGAGAGGCCTCAAAAGTGGAATAGCCTAGGGCCTCTCTTCATCTAAATCCGGTCCTGCTTACGATCAACTAATAAAACCTTGTTAAAAATCAAATGCTCAAAATAAAAGCCAGGCTTTATTTACATTATTCAGACTATTGTCCTCATCTTTGTTGCCATGTTTATCACAACGTTTCGGCCGTTGCACACTCCGGCCTTCTTCAGGTGGTTCGAATTTCGAACTGAACCCTTTATTTTGCTCACTGGGGTAGACTGTTCTAGTTCCACATGCCATGTTTGATGGATGTCAGTTATCAGTTATCTCCTGTTAATTTCCCTCTGAAAGTTCTCCACTGTCTTAACCGGGTATTGAACTCACACTCTTTGGGTCCTGTTACTGGATCTAACCAACGCCTTTATCCACTGTGCCATGTGTCCTTGCGACAGACTCCAAAAGCCAGGCTGTTTACAAATTCACTTACCGTATTGGAAATAGTATCTCTGAAAATAATAAAAATCAGTCTTAAGTAAGTGAAACCCAAATTCTTTCTCATTGTAATTCTGACCATCTAAGCAGTACCAGATTTATGGTTAGGCTTAGCAGGCTGAAGGCTAGGGGCACCAAATGTAGGGAGGTGCATCCAGCCAAGGTGTATAATATTTTGACACTGTCATAGGCCTTTCTTACACATGCTGTCATAACGCATTGTATATTTTAAAAAACCTTTTAGTAATTTTAAACATCTGACATCATCCTTGGCTTTACTCAAATAGCTTAATTTAATACTCTTCCATTTTCCTCCTCTCATAAGAAACGGGGATTTGGAGGGGGCCTCAAAAGTGCAATAGACGAGGTCCTCTCTTCATCTAAATCTGGCCCTGATTGTAATAAAACCTAAACATCTGAATGTGAATTTATACATTTTCTTCGTTATTGAGAATTTACAACAAAAATAATAAATAAAATTTATTTATTAGTTTGTTTATTTACACTATTTATTATATTAGTTATTGGAATGGTTGGCAAAACATCAGCTAACTGTCAATCAATTTGAACTTTATAAAATGAGAAATTGTAAGAATTTCCTAATAATTGGTTCACATAATGTTTACAATTTTAATAACAATAAAAATATTACACACTATTTAGTTGTAAGGTTTTTCATTAAAAAGATTAATTTTATAATTACAAGATTATAAAATTATATGAACCAACTCCAATGCAATATTTATTCCCATTTTATAAAGATTTATTATTTATCATTTTAAGAATTAAGAGACAGATATGAAAATTAATTTTTTATTTGTAAATTTATAAAAATTTACAAAATTATAAAAATGCGTCAACGAACCATGATGAAATATTTATTATTTACCATTTTATAAAGATTTTTTTCCCAATTTCATGAAGAAATAAATATGGAAATAGATTTTTTATTCATAAATTTATAAAAATGTCTGTGAGCAAGAAAATTTAAATAAATACATAATGTAATATTTTTTTGTGAAATACATCAGTTTGATACTTTGGTACATCAGTGATGTTTCCATCCGAGGATCATTAGGGGTTTCAGGTCTTTCAATATTATACCCTTTCACTATGCTAACCTAGCTGATACTTTATTTAAATAAATGCATAACTATAATTATAAATTTTGAAAAAATACATTTTTGTGGACATTTCTTTCACTTAGTCTTGCCACATAAATTTATTAAAATACATCAAGAGTATCTCTTCCTCTGAAACAAATATTCTTTTAATTTTAGATTTTAGGGGTGACCACAAACACCCAAGATTTTGAGTGAACATTTCCTTATTCAGTGGGTGGACAAAGTTTTCCTTGTGTTTCATTAAAGAATGTCTGTAATTTTCATCAGGTCTTTCCTTACAATAACTTGTTTTCATAGTTATTTATAAAATGATAAATAATAAACATTGCATTGTATTTAGTTCACATATTTCAATAATTTTGTAATTTTTTATAAATTTTTTAATAAATGATCTATTTTCAAATTTATTTCTTTATAAAAGGTAAATGTTCTCTAACAGACGTGCTGTTGCCTCCCTGTGTCTTTTTTACAAATACTTTCACGGTGACTGCTCTGGTGAGCTGCTTTCACTGGTTCCCAGACTTCGTGAATTTAAGCGCTCAACTAGGCTGGCATCTCGCTCTCACACTTTCACTGTCGAAAGAGTTAAATGTAGCCATCTCTTCTACTCCAATAGCTTCATGTCTTGCAATTCTCACCTGTAGAACTCCCTCCCCATTTCTTGTTTTCCTGATAACTATAATCTTCAACTATTCAAATGTAATGTCAATTGACATTTCCAGATGCCCTGATCTATCCCCTAACCTCCTCTTCATCATTTCCTCTGTCACTGGACTTGTGGTGTGTGTGGTGCCACATGGATGGCTTAAATTAAGAAGACAGCAGAGAGAAGTCATGTTCTTTCCTGAACTAGATCACCCCCCCCCTAAAAAAGAGGAAGAGGGCTTATTTTCCAGCATTTTATAGTTATAAAAAATCACTAATTGGCAGAGATGGTGTTGGTCATCACCACAAACTTGCAAAATGATTTGTTTTCAAGTTAAGGCTACTCATCTTTACATTTTTTTTCAGATGCACGTTGTACCTAACAATTACTTTGAGAATGAAGTAAAATTGAGGATTGCCAAATCAAAGAAGGTTATGGAGTATCTCAACAAACCATTTGATATAAATAAGTAAGTGATCAGCCTTTTCTACCCAAATGCTTTTCTTTAAATAATGCTTGAATTCTTTCCTGACCACTGACAATCCATTTCTTCCTCATTTGCAATGCATTCCTAGAGTAAAATCATTAGCAATTCATTTCCATTATACATATAATAGCCCTATTCTATCAGTAATGCTTGCATTCATTCCTGACCACTGACAATCCCTTTCTTCCTCATTTGCAATGCATTCCTAGAGTAAAATCATTAGCAATTCATTTCCATTATACATATAATAGCCCTATTCTATCAGTAATGCTTGCATTCATTCCTGACCACTGACAATCCCTTTCTTCCTCATTTGCAATGCATTCCTAGAGTAAAATCATTAGCAATTCATTTCCATTATACATATAATAGCCCTATTCTATCAGTAATGCTTGCATTCATTCCTGACCACTGACAATCCCTTTCTTCCTAATTTGCAATGCATTCCTATAGTAAAATCATTAGCAATTCATTTCCATTATACATATAATAGCCCTATTCTATCAGTAATGTTTGCATTCATTCCTGACCACTGCCAATCCCTTTCTTCCTCATTTGCAATGCATTCCTAGAGTAAAATCATGAGCAATTCATTTCCATTATACATATAATAGCCCTATACTATCAGTAATGCTTGCATTCATTCCTGACCACTGACAATCCCTTTCTTCCTAATTTCTAATGCATTCCTATAGTAAAATCATTAGCAATTCATTTCCATTACATATAATAGCCCTATTCTATCAGTAATGTTTGCATTCATTCCTGACCACTGACAATCCCTTTCTTCCTAATTTGCAATGCATTCCTATAGTAAAATCATTAGCAATTCATTTCCATTATACATATAATAGTCCCTATTCTATCAGTAATGCTTGCATTCATTCCTGACCACTGACAATCCCTTTCTTCCTCATTTGCAATGCATTCCTATAGTAAAATCATTAGCAATTCATTTCCATTTACATATAATAGCCCTATTCTATCAGTAATGTTTACATTCATTCCTGACCACTGACAATCCCTTTCTTCCTAATTTGCAATGCATTCCTATAGTAAAATCATTAGCAATTCATTTCCATTATACATATAATAGCCCTATTCTATCAGTAATGCTTGCATTCATTCCTGACCACTGCCAATCCCTTTCTTTCTCATTTGCAATGCATTCCTAGAGTAAAATCAATTCCAATGCATTTCCATTATACATATAATAGCCCTATTCTATCAGTAATGTTTGCATTCATTCCTGACCACTGACAATCCCTTTCTTCCTAATTTGCAATGCATTCCTATAGTAAAATCATTAGCAATTCATTTCCATTACACATATAATAGCCCTATTCTATCAGTAATGTTTGCATTCATTCCTGACCACTGACAATCCCTTTCTTCCTCATTTGCAATGCATTCCTATAGTAAAATCATTAGCAATGCATTTACATTATACATATAATAGCCCTATTCTATCAGTAATGCTTGCATTCATTCCTGACCACTGACAATCCCATTCTTCCTCATTTGCAATGCATTCCTAGAGTAAAATCATTAGCAATGTATTTCCATTATACATATAATAGCCCTATTCTATCAGTAATGCTTGCATTCATTCCTGACCACTGACAATCCCTTTCTTCCTCATTTGCAATGCATTCCTATAGTAAAATCATTAGCAATTCATTTCCATTATACACATAATAGCCCTATTCTATCAGTAATGCTTGCATTCATTCCTGACCACTGACAATCCCTTTTCTTCCTCATTTGCAATGCATTCCAAGAGTAAAATCATTAGCAATTCATTTCCATTATACATATAATAGCCCTATTCTATCAGTAATGCTTGCATTCATTCCTGACCACTGACAATCCCTTTCTTCCTCATTTGCAATGCATTCCTAGAGTAAAATCATTAGCAATTCATTTCCATTATACATATAATAGCCCTATACTATCAGTAATGCTTGCATTCATTCCTGACCACTGACAATCCCTTTCTTCCTAATTTGCAATGCATTCCTATAGTAAAATCATTAGCAATTCATTTCCATTACACATATAATAGCCCTATTCTATCAGTAATGTTTGCATTCATTCCTGACCACTGACAATCCCTTTCTTCCTCATTTGCAATGCATTCCTAGAGTAAAATCATTAGCAATTCATTTCCATTATACATATAATAGCCCTATTCTATCAGTAATGCTTGCATTCATTCCTGACCACTGACAATCCCTTTCTTCCTCATTTGCAATGCATTCCTATAGTAAAATCATTAGCAATTCATTTCCATTATACATATAATAGCCCTATTCTATCAGTAATGTTTGCATTCATTCCTGACCACTGACAATCCCTTTCTTCCTCATTTGCAATGCATTCCTATAGTAAAATCATTAGCAATTCATTTCCATTACACATATAATAGCCCTATTCTATCAGTAATGTTTGCATTCATTCCTGACCACTGACAATCCCTTTCTTCCTAATTTGCAATGCATTCCTATAGTAAAATCATTAGCAATTCATTTCCATTACACATATAATAGCCCTATTCTATCAGTAATGCTTGCATTCATTCCTGACCACTGACAATCCCTTTCTTCCTCATTTGCAATGCATTCCTAGAGTAAAATCATTAGCAATTCATTTCCATTACACATATAATAGCCCTATTCTATCAGTAATGTTTGCATTCATTCCTGACCACTGACAATCCCTTTCTTCCTAATTTGCAATGCATTCCTATAGTAAAATCATTAGCAATTCATTTCCATTATACATATAATAGCCCTATTCTATCAGTAATGCTTGCATTCATTCCTGACCACTGCCAATCCCTTTCTTTCTCATTTGCAATGCATTCCTAGAGTAAAAAATCATTAGCAATGCATTTCCATTATACATATAATAGCCCTATTCTATCAGTAATGTTTGCATTCATTCCTGACCACTGACAATCCCTTTCTTCCTAATTTGCAATGCATTCCTATAGTAAAATCATTAGCAATTCATTTCCATTATACATATAATAGCCCTATTCTATCAGTAATGTTTGCATTCATTCCTGACCACTGACAATCCCTTTCTTCCTCATTTGCAATGCATTCCTATAGTAAAATCATTAGCAATGCATTTACATTATACATATAATAGCCCTATTCTATCAGTAATGCTTGCATTCATTCCTGACCACTGACAATCCCATTCTTCCTCATTTGCAATGCATTCCTAGAGTAAAATCATTAGCAATTCATTTCCATTATACATATAATAGCCCTATTCTATCAGTAATGTTTGCATGCATTCCTGACCACTGACAATCCCTTTCTTCCTAATTTGCAATGCATTCCTATAGTAAAATCATTAGCAATTCATTTCCATTACACATATAATAGCCCTATTCTATCAGTAATGCTTGCATTGATTCCTGACCACTGACAATCCTTTTCTTCCTAATTTGCAATGCATTCCTATAGTAAAATCATTAGCAATTCATTTCCATTATACATATAATAGCCCTATTCTATCAGTAATGTTTGCATTCATTCCTGACCACTGACAATCCCTTTCTTCCTCATTTGCAATGCATTCCTAGAGTAAAATCATTAGCAATTCATTTCCATTATACATATAATAGCCCTATTCTATCAGTAATGCTTGCATTCATTCCTGACCACTGACAATCCTTTTCTTCCTAATTTGCAATGCATTCCTAGAGTAAAATCAATACCAATGCATTTCCATTATACATATAATAGCCCTATTCTATCAGTAATGTTTGCATTCATTCCTGACCACTGACAATCCCTTTCTTCCTCATTTTCAATGCATTCCTAGAGTAAAATCAATACCAATGCATTTCCATTATACATATAATAGCCCTATTCTATCAGTAATGTTTGCATTCATTCCTGACCACTGACAATCCCTTTCTTCCTAATTTGCAATGCATTCCTATAGTAAAATCATTAGCAATTCATTTCCATTACACATATAATAGCCCTATTCTATCAGTAATGTTTGCATTCATTCCTGACCACTGACAATCCCTTTCTTCCTCATTTGCAATGCATTCCTAGAGTAAAATCATTAGCAATTCATTTCCATTATACATATAATAGCCCTATTCTATCAGTAATGTTTGCATTCATTCCTGACCACTGACAATCCCTTTCTTCCTCATTTGCAATGCATTCCTAGAGTAAAATCATTAGCAATTCATTTCCATTATACATATAATAGCCCTATTCTATCAGTAATGCTTGCATTCATTCCTGACCACTGACAATCCCTTTTCTTCCTAATTTGCAATGCATTCCTATAGTAAAATCATTACCAATTCATTTCCATTATACATATAATAGCCCTATTCTATCAGTAATGTTTGCATTCATTCCTGACCACTGACAATCCCTTTCTTCCTAATTTGCAATGCATTCCTATAGTAAAATCATTAGCAATTCATTTCCATTACACATATAATAGCCCTATTCTATCAGTAATGCTTGCATTCATTCCTGACCACTGACAATCCCTTTCTTCCTCATTTGCAATGCATTCCTATAGTAAAATCATTAGCAATTCATTTCCATTACACATATAATAGCCCTATTCTATCAGTAATGTTTGCATTCATTCCTGACCACTGACAATCCTTTTCTTCCTAATTTGCAATGCATTCCTATAGTAAAATCATTAGCAATTCATTTCCATTACACATATAATAGCCCTATTCTATCAGTAATGTTTGCATTCATTCCTGACCACTGACAATCCCTTTCTTTCTCATTTGCAATGCATTCCTAGAGTAAAATCAATACCAATGCATTTCCATTATACATATAATAGCCCTATTCTATCAGTAATGTTTGCATTCATTCCTGACCACTGACAATCCCTTTCTTCCTAATTTGCAATGCATTCCTATAGTAAAATCATTAGCAATTCATTTCCATTACACATATAATAGCCCTATTCTATCAGTAATGCTTGCATTCATTCCTGACCACTGACAATCCTTTTCTTCCTAATTTGCAATGCATTCCTATACTAAAATCATTAGCAATTCATTTCCATTATACATATAATAGCCCTATTCTATCAGTAATGCTTGCATTCATTCCTGACCACTTTCTTCCTAATTTTGCATTCCTAAAATTTGCAATGCATTTCCATTATACATATAATAGCCCTATTCTATAAAATCATTTGACCAGACAATTTTTCTTCCATTATATGCATTTATATCATTCATTTCCATTATACATATAATAGCCCTATTCTATCAGTAATGCTTGCATTCATTCCTGACCACTGACAATCCCTTTCTTCCTAATTTGCAATGCATTCCTATAGTAAAATCATTAGCAATTCATTTCCATTACACATATAATAGCCCTATTCTATCAGTAATGCTTGCATTCATTCCTGACCACTGACAATCCTTTTCTTCCTAATTTGCAATGCATTCCTATAGTAAAATCATTAGCAATTCATTTCCATTACACATATAATAGCCCTATTCTATCAGTAATGTTTGCATTCATTCCTGACCACTGACAATCCCTTTCTTCCTCATTTGCAATGCATTCCTAGAGTCAAATCATTAGCAATTCATTTCCATTACACATATAATAGCCCTATTCTATCAGTAATGCTTGCATTCATTCCTGACCACTGACAATCCCTTTCTTCCTAATTTGCAATGCATTCCTATAGTAAAATCATAACCAATTCATTTCCATTATACATATAATAGCCCTATTCTATCAGTAATGTTTGCATTCGTTCCTTACCACTGACAATCCCTTTCTTTCTCATTTGCAATGCATTCCTAGAGTAAAATCAATACCAATGCATTTACATTATACATATAATAGCCCTATTCTATCAGTAATGCTTGCATTCATTCCTATTTCTCATGATCTATTACATTTGTATTACTTTGTGGATTATTTTTTCTCCAAACAATTAAACACTAATCACGTACCTATCTTTTTTCAGCTTTTCTTTTCTTCCTGTTTCACAGATTGTTGTAAAAATTTCTCAGCTAAATTACTCAGGAAACAATTTTCTCATTTTTTACCAATTGTCTTTGATAAAAATAGAAATCTCTCTCCATCTGACTCTCTTTATCTTTCAGGTTTGCCTTTGATGCTCTCGATGTGAATGCTTTTTATAATTCCAAGAATTTTGCTATTTTTCCTGCTGGCCTTCTACAAAGACCCATGTATGATGTCATCTTTCCGCTGTACGTATTGCCACCCTTTTTATTAACTGACAAGGTAATAATATCTTAAGCAATTTAAATAAAAGATTGTGTTGTTGAGTGTGTTATATATTTAACTGCACCGTACCTTGAGGAGCTAGCAGACAGGTACTTAGTAACAAGAAGAGAGGACGCCAAATACTTTTACCATATTTATTACATATATCGCAACATAAAACAAAAGACGCAGCAAACAATAGGTCATTACTCAAAAAGGTGTCTGTACCCTTGTGGGGCTTTCTCTACCTCTCGGTTAGGGGCAGGTAGAGTACCTGGTTAAGTGTGTAATAGTCACCTTTTTATATTGACTTGGGACTTCTCAATATGGTGTGTGGTCCTTAACAATGCTTCTATGAGAATCCAAAATGCAAGGGGAGGGGGTTGTCATGGGAATGGGAATAAATGAGATCCCAAAATAGGTCTCATAGGGCATTGTATCCCTACAGCCATAAGATTGCTCCCCTGTGTCCTTTCTATAAATATTTTCATGATAATTGTTGTTAGGAGCTCTATAAGTCTACCATTCATTCATGTTTTGAATATTGCTGGCACATATGGTCTGGTGCCTCTTCTAATTAAGTTGAGATCCTTGATAAAATCTAAAACAGAATCAGCGATATTATTGATCCTGATCTGGTGGCTCAGCTTCAATCACTTTCCCATCGCCATGTTGGGGGGTGTTAGATATTTAACTGCTCCGTACCTTGACGAGCTCCCAAACAGAAAATAAGGTGGTACTAAGCAACAAGAAGAGAGGATGCCAAATACTTTTACTACATTTATTACATATATCACAACATAAAACAAAAGACACAACAAACAAGAGGTCATTACTCAAAAAGGTGTCTTTACCCTTGTGGGGATTTCTCTACTTCTCAGCAGTACGGTAGGGTGCCTGGTTAAGTGGGTGAAGTTCACTTTTTTATATTTCCTCTGGATTTCTCAATATTGTGTCTGGTCCTTGTCACTGCTAAACTCTCTCTGCCTCTAGGAGAGTCCAAGATGCAGGGTGGGGGTTGTCATGTGACTGTTTCAAACAGGAATTTATGAGATCCCAAAATAGATCACATAGGTGGGTGTATATACGCGAAAAGGGATCTTTTACAAAACAACACATTCCATGCTTTAGTTGCTCACCATAAAGTGTTTGAACATAATTTTGATTTAAAAAAGGCTGCTTTAATTAAAAGCAATTTACTAAGGCAAAAATATACAGAAAGTGTAATGATTCCTAAAATCATCCTTGGTAAATTCGCATCCATGAATTTTAGCAATTAATTATCATAGTTTTCTTAATCTGATGTTATTTCTTTGTAGCAAGAATGGAGAAAAATTGGTTTTACCACAAAGCAAATTTCACTTGTTCAGATTTCCAAAAGTTCCAAACTGTTCAATAGTAGATAGATTTGCCTATCATCCGGTTCACACTCCTTCCTTATCTTTTGAACAGAAGTAGATGTGTATCCCTTGTTTCCTGTTTATTAATGGGTTATTAATTCCTTCTAAAGTCTTTTTCTTCTCTTCCACTTCCAGTGGCCCCTTGTGTAATGGTGATGTTATCACCTTGCATGGAATAGTATCTCTTACTCTGTAACACTCTACCTCGAGTGGCTCTTGGTCCTTCTACAGGATGAACATTGTAAAAAAAAAGAAAATTCAAAATGTAAACAAAGCAATTTCTAAACAGCTGATGGATTTTTTATTTACACTATTTACATTGTTTGGACTATTGTCCTCATCTTTGTCATCATATTTATTACAATGTTTCGGCTGTTGTACACGCCGGCCTTCTTCAGATGGTTGGAATGTCGAACTGAACCCTTTATTTCACTCACTGGGGTAGACTGTTCTAGTTCCACGTGCCATGTTTAATGGATGTCAGTTATCAGTTATTTCCTGTTAATTCCCCTCTGAAAGTTCTCTGCCTTAACCGGGTATTGAACTCACACTCTTTGGGTCCTGTCACTGGATCTAACACCTTTATCCACTGTGCCATGTGTCCTTGTAATAAATATGGTGACAAAGATGAGGACAATAGTCCGAATAATGTAAAAAGTGTACATAATACCTCATCTCAGAAATATAGACAAATTTTTTATTTATTTAAGATACTTTTATTAATTTAATTATCTTTAGTGGATACTCATTTGAGTAGATGTTCCATTTAATTTTTAAAAAGTATTTTATTTCATCAACCATTGTGAACATTCAAGATATTTCAAGTAAATAGCTAGAAATCAATAAGATATTAAAGAAAAACGCACCCTTTAGATGTTTACGTTTCAGATACAAAACTGGGCACTTAATGAACTTTCAAAAATCTGAATGAATGAAATGTGCTTAAAGGTAAAATAGAACCATACATGATCACAATGCTCTTCGTAAATGAGTTGGTTAAAGAGTGTTGGATCTAATGATGGTTTCTCCTGCAAAGGAGGATGCTGGTTCAAATCCTGCTAGAGGGGACATTTTTCTTTAATAAGATTTTTCAAATGTTCACACTGATAGACTAAATAAATTTCTGTTTGAAAAATAAATGGAACGTCTACTAAAATATGGGTAGCGTTTTTTTTTTTTAATGGTGGATTCATTCCTTTTCTAAGTGAATGTAAACAATCTCATCCAAAATTTGAAATTATTTTTCTAATTTTGTTTTTAATGCAGAGAATTGTTAGATGACCTCACACCTCTATTCATTACATATATAGGATACAGAGAGAGGACAATTCATGCCTTTCTCAGCTGAAATTTGAACTTGGTTTGCCCATTTTGTTTTAATGCAGATAATTGTTGCACCTCATCAGACTTGCAGGGAGAAGTAAGTTCATGCCTTTCTCAAGTATAACATGATCAAAAGAAAACTCAACAAAGATTTGAACTTGATATATTGGCCATTTTCCATGCCAAAAAACTGTTACACAACCTTACACTTCCATTTATTACATATAAAGAATGCAGGGAAATGTAAGTTCATGCTTTGTACGAGTAAATAGCTAGAAACCAAATAAGCATTAAAAAAGATTTGGCATTACTTAAGTAGACTGGTCCAATCATAAAAAACCGAACTCCGTGGAACACACTGACATCTCAAATTATCACTCTATTAATCTCTTATATCTTTTTGGCAAAGTACTTGAGGCTCTAATCAATGTTGAATTGGTTAAACATCTTACTTCACACAGCTTCCTTTCTGAGAAAAATTATTGCTTCATTTTCACCAGGTCTACCTCTGATGTGTTAATGGCTATCACTGTCTGTCAAGCTTTAGATAAGATCAGGCTGTGGCTCTAGATATCTCAAAAGTGTTCAACAAGTTTTGGCATGCTGGCCTTCTATGCAAACTCATTGGCTACAGTGTCACAGGACAAATATTTGGTTTAATCAAATCATTCCTAACAAATTGTGTAATGAAGGTCATGTTGAACAAACATGCTTCTAGATCATTTCGTACTAACATGGGAGTTCCCCAGGGCTTTATCCTTGGACCTACACTGTTTAGGATCTTCATCAATGACCTCTCTGATGTTATCAGTTCCCAACTAGGCATTTATGCAGATGATACAGCCATTTACTCCTGTCTTAGTAGTAAGTCCAACAGACCAGACAAGGTAAACCTGGCAACTGCTCTCAAAACAGACCTCCAATCAGTGGTTAACTGGGTCAAGGAATGGCTTGTAAATTTTAATGCCTTCAAAACAAAACTGCTTTCATTTAATCACCAAAGAGAACCGTTTCTGCCTGCCAACATCATGGCTGATGCTAAACTTCAGGAGATCAACACTCTATGCTTTCTTGGGCTCATGTTTTTCACTGAAATCAAATGGAGTGACTATATAGAATCAATTGCTATGTCTGTGCTATTAAAGTTGAGTCACTGTGTCGTGCCAGTAAATCTTTCTTATCAGAATCCATCTTGCACATTTATAAATCTATCATTCATCTGTGCATCAAATATTGCTGCCATGTTTAGTATGTTGTTCCTGCTGTATGTCTCAAGGTTCTTGACAAAATTCAAAGAAAGGTCTATAATGTAATTGATCCTGACCTGGCATCTCAACTTCAGTCACTTTCTCACCATCATGACGTGGCTTCCCTTTGTCTTTTCTACAAATATTTTCCTGGCAACTGTTCTGATGAGGTTTTCTCCCTGGTGCCTTGACTGTGTGAATTTAAGCATGCTACTAGATTGGCATCTAGGTCTCACTGTTTAGCTGCTGAACTAAGTAGATGCAACTATCTCTTCTATTCTGACAGTTTCTTTTCTCACACTGTATGACTCCCTTCTGATTTCTTGCTTCCCTGATAACTATGATCTTCAAAAATTTAAATGCAATGTCAATCACTATCTTCTTGAATCTTGTTCCTTTATTGTCCTTTTCCTCACTCTTTCTCACTAAAGTCTTCTCATTCTCTTTCACTCCCTGTAACCCCCTGTGTCTTAGTGGCATTATTGCCTTGCTTGGGGTGAAACAAATGAAAATAAATAGGGAAAATTTTGTTTTTAAATAATTTTTGTAAATGAAAATTCATCTGAAATTCCTTGAGGTGCAGCATTTGTCAGAATCGAAACACATTGATTTTTAATTGATTTAGAAGTGAGGGTCCTGTTCATAATATTCATACAGTATAAAATTGATCCCTGACTTTTTACAGAGTTAACTGAACTTAGATGTCCTGTATATGAAAACAGATAGGTTTTTGTTAAAAAAAAGATTTCTTTTAAATAAGAACAAATGGGGAAAAAATATATAAATTTTGTATGAGGGAGAACAGACACTGAAATTTAAAATTTAAATTAATTTTTTTTTTTTATTATTATATTTTTGAGTATATAGTCTAGATGATTTCATTTAGTTTTTTTTTATGCTTTTATCAGTTTTGTTTTGTTATTTTGATAATAGAAAACCTGCCAAAAAAGATGATATGTAAAATTTAAATTAACAAAAATTTTTTGCAACATGCTGACATGTGTTAAAATCCTCACAGTATTTAGTTGAAGTTATTGGTGATATTTTTTGTCGAGATTTACAAATTCTATGTTTTGTTCAATTTTGCAAACCAGTTAATAAAATTTGAATAAGCTGACAAAATTTGAAATTTTTCCACTACTCTTCAAATCCTCTTCCAATTTGAATCTCTCCCTACTGTGCATTATATTTCACCAGAATTAGATATAGACTAGCAGCATGACCCGGCGTTGCCCGTACTTGATTAAAAAATCGTACGACTCATACAGCAATTGCTCTCACTTGACTTAAAATATTTTAGCCCTTCCTTGCCTTTAAAGGAGTCGCCTTTGCCGTGCTGATGTTGCTACATGCCTTACTTCTTGCCTATCTCACACTGCGAATTTTTTCTAAGCTCTATACTAAACATTAAATCTGTTATGAAAAAAGAACTAAACAAAATGAACACAAAACGATCAGCTTTAAAAAAGGACTCATATTTGGAAAAACCGAATGAAAAAAAGAGTGTTAACAGCAAATACTTTTTCACACCCAACTCAGTTCTGTGGAATCAGAATCAACGTTTAATTTAAGCAAGTGAATGAGCCAACTGGAGTAAAGTGCCATGCAGATTTAAATTTTTCCAACTTGTGACAAATGCAGCTATCAATTTTTTTGCATGCTAGTTAACATTCATGTCAGTCAGCTGTAGGCTCTCACGCTGGCCAATAGAATCTTCCTGCCTATTCGTGGCAGCCATCTATAGTCTCTCATTCTGGCCAGTACAAAATGGCCACAAACTACATGAAAACTGCCATAGAAGCATGAAAAAATCAATTATTTCCACTATCGATGGGAGTTGGGAAATGCAAAGTCGGTCTTGGCCTTCCGGCTAACTTGGAGCATGTGCATGTAAATTTGTGTGCAATTCTGTTGAAAATTGCGGTCGTGCATTCGTTACACACACACACATCCTGCCTTTTATAGATAGAGATAAAAATTAAATGATATGCAAAAAGCAATACTGAATTTTTATTAAATATGTTATTTTAATCATTAAATTGTGTTTAAAATAGTGAGAATATTTTGTATGTTAAATAATAAAACTTAATTTTTCCAAAAAAATGAATGCAAATTTATTGTACTAAGCTATGCACCCGAGTAAAACCAATTGTACTTTGTACCCGCCTCACCTGTTTGCATTTCTCCCTAAAATTTGGTTTCAATTGATTAATGTATGACTACTTTAAAAGGTGTGATGGATGGATGGACGGACTGACAAAAGTCACAGAATTTTATATATAGGAGAATAAAAAATTAAATAAAATATCCTTTTCTTCTTGATTTAAGATAAATGATTATTATCCCAAATATTTCTGCAGGTACTTCTGAAATATTCCCTTTCCCACCCTAAAAATTTAAAAAAAAGCTAAAAGAAATTAAAAAAAAAAATGCATATATCAGTTTCAAACTTGATGTTTCTAAAAGTCCACTAAGTCTGTAAAAAGTCAGTGATTGATTTGACACTATATGAACATGTCCTCCCCCTTCTAAATCAATAAAAAATCAATTTTTTTTTATTCTGACAAATGTTGTGGCTTGATGAACTTGTAAGGAATGCTAATGCACAAAAATTATTCCCTGGTAAATTTTCCATATTTTTTACATGTACATTTGTCTATTTAGTGATAGGCAATACCTACCTGTTTGGATTCACCTTGAAGTGGTGCTATTGATCTTAAACGAGCATCATTAAAGTTCAAGAATTCTTTGTTTGTTGTTGATATTTTTATTTGATTTTTTTCTTTTTAGTTCCTACAACTTTGGTTCCCTGGGTTCAGCAATTGGACATGAATTCATTCATGGTTTTGACAATTCAGGTAATAGACAAACTCTGCTTAATTTATTTATTTGAAGATGGGAGTTTTAGGTAAATAAATGACAAGATGGGAAAAACAATTCTATGCAACACATTTTGTCCTTTAAAAGGACTTCCATGGATTAAAATAAGGTTTTTATTAATGAAATAGGGAGAGTGGGGTGCAGACAAAAAAAAATCAGTTATAACTAGTGGTGGCATCGTACCAATTCTTAACTGATTCTTAAAATTATAAAAGCTTAGTAAGCCAGTTGTTGAATTATCCAGAAATAATCTTATATATTAATAGCCGATATATAATAGCTAGAAATATAATTAATACCATTGCTGTAAGTTCTGTGGAGGCTGAAAGAGGGTTTTCTGTGAAGAACATAATTTATTTGGACAAAAGAAATCATCTCCAAGTTAAAAATGTGGCAAATTTGACAGAACTTCCATTGGATCTTTGGGACTGCAGTGATTCAGTTCAAATGTGGCTAAGAAACGATAACACAGCTGATGACACTTGTGTCAAAAAGCATTATGATTCTGAACAGAAATATGATGAGAACAAAATTTCAATCTGGAAATATCTTAATAAATAAATATTTTCTATTAAATTATCAAAATGGTTTAATTCTTTTTGATACTATAAAGTGATTTGTTTCCATTCTCAGATTGAAAAGAAAATAAGCAGAATAGGTTCCTAATCATTACCTGCCTTTATAAATTTCTTGGAAATTTGGGATTCCATTATTACAGCACAGTCCCCTTGTGGTAGCAGAGAGAAAAAGGCTTAAAAGAAAGCATTTAGCAGAGAAGTGTAACTGTGGGTTTAAAAAAAAATGTACAAACAGATTTGTTAGCGGCAGGTGAGTGTAAACATACAACCTGACCTCACCCAAGTTTTTCACTGACTCAATGGTTAATTTAATGATTGAATTATCAAAATGGTTTAATTCTTTTTGATACTATAAAGTGATTTATTTCCATTCTCAGATGGAAAAGAAAATAAGCAGAATAAGTTCCTAAAGATTACCTGCCTTTATAGAACTGGTTCCTAGAAATTTCTTCTTTTTATGTGATGTGTCTCTTCAGGACATAGGCGATCATTGCCCTCCACATCTTCCTGTCCTTGTAGCTCTTAATAAGTTTTGTTTTTTTGTTATATCTCCCAAACCCTGTTCTGCCATTCATTTGCTCAAACCCATTAAGTATGTCATGTGTTACTTTCCTCTGTCCCTCTTTCTCTCTATCTGTCCTGTGAGTATCAGATTTTCCAAACCCTCCTTTCTCATTACATATCCCAGAAATTTCAACTGACTCTTCTTTATTTTAAGTATTAGTTTCTTCTTTGTTTCCATTATGTCCCAAGCTTTGTTGTTGCTCACACATTTGGCCCATGGTATCCTTCTGTAGAACCATGTTTCTGTTGCTTTGAGTCTCTTCTTCATCTTTGAGGAGATTATCCAGCATTCGCTGCTATACAAGAAAACAAATATCATGTAACAGTTCAGTACTTTTTACTGTTGATCCCTTCAGTGTTCCTCTTGATGTAAAATTATAATTGATGCTTTCGTTTATATATCAATGGTTCCCAGATGGTGCAACATGCCTCATAGGTATGGCAGAAGAGGACAGCAGGTGAGGCAGAATGATTGAAAAACAATCAAAATTTAGAAACAGTTTCAAAAAATTCATATGCTAAAAATAAATATGATTTCAAAATTTAAAATATTATTATGGATTACTTGTAATTGCATGCATGAGTCCCAGTATAAATAATTATTGAGTGATTTTATCAGTGTGATATTTTTGTATTATATCAAGTATTAAGAATATAGTATTTTTTTAAAAAGTTTTTCATCCCAAGCAAGGCAGGAGTGCCACTAGCACACAAGGGGTTATAGAGAGTGTGAGCAAGAGTAAAGAGGCATGAAAGAGGAAAGGATGAAGAGAAGGACAGGGAATAGATCAAGGAATCTGGAGATGTTGATTGACATTGTATTTGAACAGTTGGAGATTATGGGAGTCTAGAGGTGATGCCCACTACCAATGATGGGGTTATGTGCAAATCGCTAAACAAAGCCTCAGTTCTAGGGGTGAAATCAGATATGCGTATACTGGATGAGTTGGGCGTTGAATTGGATGAGAATTTATGAGCAAAGCACTCAGCCTTATCAGCTGAGAAAGTCAGGACATCAAATTGGTTGAACAAAAGAGGTATTGAGGGCTTTCTGTTGTTTTGTATGCTCTTGTAGAGATACCAATACTCTTTGGAGCCGAATTTGCGAGATGCAATATGTTGTTTCATTCTATCAGCAAATAGTGATTTTGCTTCACTGAGGACATACTTGCACTCATTATGGGCTGAGACAAAGAGACATCTCTTGCAATCTGACATGTCACTATGGTAGAGGCAGAAGTAGTGATTCCTATGGGCATTGGCAGCTGAGCAAGCAGCTTAGAACCAAGGGGATGAGCGTGATTTAGCCTTATATTTCCTTGCGGTGATGAAATCCTCAATTCCAGCTTTTACATCACAAAGGAAATCATGGAATGAGTCCCAGTCAGCTCGTTGATAACAGAAAGATGTTCTGTTGGAAGTGGAGTAGAAGGAGATGTTGACAGACACTACATCATGATCAGAGTTGCCAAGAGGGCAGAGCTGTGTGGTACAACAAGACTCCGAGATAGAGGTAAAACAGAGATCGAGAAGGAAAGCCTTACCATCATGGTTGTTGGGGAAATGGGTGGGGAAGTCAACCACTTGTGTGAGGGATTGAGTAATTGAGAAGTTAAGGGTTCATATGCCAGCAAGGTCAGTTATAGTGTTTTTAAGCCACTTGATATGGTGAGCGTTAAAGTCACCAAAACACAAATATATGAGCAAACGGATGAAGAGAGATAGCCTTATCTATATTGTCAGAAATGCTTTTGAGTAGCCCACAGGAGGATGGAGAGCAATAGAGAAAGAAGAATTAACTTACAGCATTAAGAAGAGATAGACGGAGGCAAGAGAGGGCCCCCTAGCCAATAGGAGATGGTCCTTGACGTAAACTCCTAGACCATGCATGTAGGTTTGGGAGTCTTTTTTAAGGAGAGGAAGGTAACTGGGGATCAAGATGTCCGAGGAGGGTATAAACAAGTCAAGATTGGTCTCATCGTGAGCCAGTATATCAGGAGACTTCTCAATGAGGAATGATTTCACACTGCAGAAGTTGGTTTGAATGCTACAGATGTTAGAAAAGGAAATGTTAAAGGGTTTAGGCAATTTTTTACAGCTAGTTTAGGTTTACTTTTCGATTATAAGAATTTTTTTCATATAATAATGGTTTTTAGTGATTACTGATTAACCCATAGCTTGGGGGAAGAAGAGGTGAATTCATACTTAATCAGAAGTTGATAAACAAGCAAGAAATTCTAATGTAGATATAAAGTGGGGGATCCATTCTATATTACTGTCAATATATAAACTGACCCCTCAGTTTGTGGCCACAGTAGTTTTGATGCATTTATGTTTCAGAGAATGTAAATAAATCTAAAAGACATGCCTGTGTAGCTAATCAGTATTCGTTTTTTATGGCTTATCAATCCTTTGTAGGTTATTTAAAGCCAAGAAATATTTTTAGATTGTAAGAATTTTTTTTGTTTGAGATAATAATTTTGTTAGTGATAACAAATCTTACCAATTAACCCATAGCTAGGGAAGAAGAGATGGATTCATACCTTTTTTCCAAGAGTATTTGCACATAAGTGTATATAATGAGTACAATGTAATTAGAACTCAGCTCTCTGATTAACAATTCTGAGCCATTATCCATCATAACACCACCTGCACATCCATCATAGCACCACCTGCACACCCAAGTTTACAGTACCTGATATTCCCAAGCATTTATGACCAGAATCAAAGTTGCTTGATTTTGGCGATTGTACATAAACCAGTGTTTCAACATGATGTGGTTGTAAGCCCATTACACCACCCGCACATCCAAGCTTACAGCACCTGATATTGCCAAGCTGTTATCCATCTAGGTACTGACCAGACTTGACGTTGCTTAACTGTGGTGATCAGACATGAACCAGTGTTTCAATGTGATGTGAGCCTAAGCTCATTGCACCACCTGCACATCCAAGCCTATAGCACCTGATATTCCCAAGCAGTCACCCATGTAGACACTGATCCAACTTGATGTTGCTTAACTGTGTGGATCGTACATGAACAAGTGTTTCAACATGATGTAGCTGTAAGCCCATTACACCACCTGCACATCCAAGCTTACAGCACCTGATAATCCCAAGTGGTCACCTATCTAAGTACTGACCAGGCTCGACGTTGCTTAACTGCGGTGATTGTAAGTAATTTCAACGTAATGTGGCCATAAGCCCATTACACCACCTGCACATCCAAGCCTATAGCACCTGATAATCCCAAGCGGTCACCTATCTAAGTACTGACCAGACTTGACATTGCTTAACTTCATTGATTGTATGTCAACTGGTGTTTCAACATGCTGTAAAGCTTTTTTAAACAATAATATGTAGTAATAGTGACACAGACTGCATTAATTATTTAATTTTTTGCAGTAGTAAAATAATTTTTTTTTTTTTTTTTTTTTTTGCAGGACGTCGATTTGACAGCCAAGGAATTTTACACAACTGGTGGAGTAACATTTCAAACCATAAATTTGAGAAAAAGGCAAAATGTATTCAGGACCAATACAGTAATTACAATGAGTCTGGGAAAACGGTATGTTGCTTTTATGTGAAGAGAATGTCGATTGATTCATTTTTCAACCCATTACAGGTTATTTAAAACCAGAAAATATTTTTAGATTATAAGAATTTCTTCTTTTTTGAGTTAATAAGGAATTAGGGATATACATTTTACTAATTAACCCATAGCGAGGGGATAGAAAAGGTGGACTCATACCTAATTAGAATTTGATAAACAAGGAATTATAATGTGGATATAAAGTGGGGGATCAGTTCTATATCACAATCAATATATAAAGTGATCTCTCACTATGTGGTCATGATAGATTCTATACATTTATATTCCAGAGAATGTAAAAAAATCTAAAATACATGCTTGTGTAGCTCATTCATTTTTATTCGATTGATTCGTTTTTTACGACTTATCATCCCTCTGCAAGTTATTTAAAGCCAGAAAATATTTTTATATTGTGAGAATTTCTTCATTTTATTTTATTTATTTATTTTTTTTGAGATTATAACTTTTTTAGTGATACAAATCTTACTAATTAACACATAACTGGGGTAGAAGCCGTGAACTCAAATCTTTCCCAAGGGTATTTTGCATGTAAGTGAATTGGTTCATGAATTGAAACTCAGTTTCCAAGTCATTATGCATTACACCACCTGTACATCCAAGCTTACAGCACCTGGTATTCCCAGGTAGTCACCCATCTAGGTACTGACCAGACTTGATGTTGCTGAACATTGGTGATTATATGGGAATCAGTGTTTTAAAGTGACATGGCCAGAAGCCAATTACACTATCTGTACATCTAAGCTTACAACACCTGGTATTCCCAAGTGGTTACCCATTTAGGTACTGACCAAGGTCAATATTGCTTAACTTTGATGATCATTTGAGACCTTGTGTTTCAATGTGATATGACCATAAGCCCGTTACATTGCCTGTACATCCAAGCTTACTGCACCTGGTATTCCCAAGCGGTCACCCATTTAGGTACTGACCAAGCTCGACATTGCTTAATTTTGTTGATGTGAAGACAATGATTCTGTTTGATATTTCATGAGAAATTATATCAAAATAGTTTTAGGTAGATGTGTCAAGCAACAATTTAAATATTTGGAAAGTGTTTATACAACAATTTAAATATTTGGAAAGTGTTTATACAACAATTTAAATATTTGGAAAGTGTTTTAACCGAAGACAGAATGTGTGATGCCAAAATCCAAAGGCACACTGCGATAACGAAAGATGCTTTTCAAAAGCTAAGCAAATTATTAAGAAACTGGAAAATTTCATTAGAAACAAAGAAAAGAATATTTAACTGTCATGTTGGTTCTTCTATATGGCAGTGAAACCTAGACAATCTCTACACAGAAGAAAAAATTTGAAGCACCAGAAATGTAGTTCTACAGAAGGATGCTGAGAATACCATGGACCAAACATGTGAGCAACAATGAAGTTTTAGAGAAAATGGAAACAAAAAGAACACTTATACTTAACATCAGAAAGAGGCAGTTGAAATTTCTTGACCATATAATGAGGAAAGAGGGTTTGGAAAATTTGACACTCACAGGACATATTAAAAGATGGGCAGATAAAAACAGCACATAACCTACTTAACAAGCAGAAGAGTGTTTAGGGGAGATGGCAAAAAGACTAAATTTAGTAGGAGCTACAAAGGACAGGAATTTGTGGAGAGCCATGATATATATATATATATATATATATATATATATATATATATACTCGACTCTCACGTCAAATTTGATGTAAAGCGTCAAGCAGATCAGTTCCAAAGAATCGACATCTCAAAACCAATCCATGAGATTTGATTATAGTGGTGAAGATTTTGTGCAGAACCAACCACACTTTTTGAAGAGATGAATACAAAGACCTCATGCACTACGTGCCACAAGATCCTCAAACGACCCTCTGAAGGTTTTGAATTCAGAGTTTTCCTCCTCCTAGACCAGTTGCCATCCAAGGCTATAGAACCCTGTCTGTCCTGCTATTTACCCATAGCTAGAGGGAGAACAGGAGGATTCATATCTTTTCCAAGGGTATTAGCTTGTAAGTGAATGTAATGGATTTGACTGGAATTCAAACTCAGCTCTCCGATTCTTCAATCCAAGCCACTGTCCATTACTCCACCATTCCTCATATTATATATATATATATATATATATATATATATATATATATATATATATATATGAATAACATTAAAAGGAAAGCTTAGCAGATACTTTTTGTCCTCTTAGGGACTTTATCTAGGCAAATGCAAGTATTTTAGCTGACATTTCAGCTAACCTGATGAATATTGACGAGGGTTCCTAACTCAAAAATTTTGAAGAAATCAGTACTACTTTTCCTTTTTTATATAAATACTTGTTGCAAAATAAAATCCTTGCATTTGCTTTGATAAAGTCCCTCAGAGGACAAAATGCTAAGATAAGTTTTCCTTTTGTCTTTATTCATATTTTCTTTTTACAGACATACTCTATTTGAAAATTTTACATATATATATATATATATATATATATATATATAATTTTTTTTATAAAAAAAAAGAAAAAAAAATTTATAACATAAATATGTTATAAAATCACTACAAAAATAGCCATTTTGTTTCAACACCCTCGGTGGCTTATCAAGTGATGATGTTGAATATAAAATAAATGGTTTTAAAAGTTTCAAATTAATTAACGATCCTTCGCTAGGGGAAACCATTGTTACAAAAGCTAGAATGACCAATCAAAACCCAAGTATAGGAAGATTCAAAAGCTTGACAACGAAATCATGTTATAATAGTTATTCAGATCTTTAAAATACGGGTAATATTAAAAAGAATTTATTCTAACCAATAATTATTAAATTATATGATAAAATTTGATATTAAAATTAAAAACTGCCAATTTTAAAATCCAAATTTAATCACTATTAAGTTTAAAAACTATAAAATTACTGAGGAGAAAAGAAAAAATACATATGTTATTCAATTTATTTCTTCGTTGAAATTACGTTAGAACAGACGCTACAATATCTGGTCATTTGACAATACATGTATATATATTTTAATCCCAAGTGTGTGAATGGAGTCTTAAACTCGCGTGCAAAACAACAAAAACACAATCAGATTATAATACATAACCACCCAGACATATTTATATATATATATACACACAAAAAAGCGACGAGACAGTAACATCTCCACAGACCTTTATGAAAAAAGGAAACGGGGTAACCAACACCTACAGACACACACACACAATTAAAAGTGAATGCACTCTCCATACACATAGACACTGATAAATACATGTACACACATCAACAGACATTGACCTTGACAATCAGATACCACAACCAATAAATATTTAAGACTGAAAGTATCATTAAACAAATGCTAGCCACTTATTAAAATATAACTTAAGCGAGCAAATATACAAAGATAAAAATGGTTAAAAATAATATTATTTAATATATTAAAACGAAAATTCCAAAACCATAAATATCAATAAAAATATATTTTAATCATATAAGTTGATAATAGTTTCATTATATATTAAATGAAGGAGAACAGGATAAAGAAAACCTACAGAAATAAATGTACTGTCATACGCATATACATGTATACACATATATACACGCGGCAGCAAACACAAACTAACACACATATACATATATATACACACACAGAAATACATACATATAAATATATAAACATAAACATATACACACATATACATATCTATGATAACAAGTACACATACACATACATACATATAAACATATATACACATATTTATGCACACATACTCACATATATAAACACATATATACATGCACCAATACACATATGAACATATATACACACATAGACTAACGACTGTGGCAGTAATTACATACCAAAGTTTCCATAATTGTTGGTTATTGGAATTCATTCCGTATACACCAAGTATACACCAATTATATACTTGGACTATATATATACTTAAAATGAAACGACCCAAAAATTAGAAAAATATTCAGTGACCCACTTCATGATAGGCATGAGTCCTCCAGTCTACATACACACACTTAACATCATCTGGTATACATCATTCATCACCTCACCAAGGAAATGTCACCTGTAATAAATCCTGATGCCAAGTCTGTAGATATATCATCAGTAATAGCAATTTCAAATCACCTGGCACTCATATGGTATTCAAATCATTGGCTCAGTACAAATCATATATTTGCTTCTCTGCTACAAATACAAAAAAGGAAATCATGTTGGAGAAACAGGAGTGGAATTTTGTCTTCTGTTTAATAAACAATTGTAGAATTTCATGTGAATTTTTTTTTTGATTTCAATATACAATCAACTATAGAGAAAGACACCTTATTTAAAGTTCATTAGTGTAGAAATTCAGACAACTTAATACTTGGTGGAAAATACTTGGTGGAAAAACAAGAGTAATAAAATGAAAGAAGTACTAGTCAAAAATGAATAATAATTGCCAAGGCTTCATCTAAGAAATTCAGACAACTTAAGACCATTAATACTTGGTGGAAAAACAAGAATAATAAGATGAAAGAGATATTAGTCAAGAATGAATAATAATTGAGAAGGCTTCATCTAAGAAATTCAGACAATTTAAGACTATTACTACTTGATGGAAAAGCAAGAGAAATAAGATGAAAAAATACTAGTCAAAAATGAATAATAATTGTTGTTCATCTCTTTCAGATTGATGGACTATTCTCTCTGGGAGAAAACATTGCTGATAATGGAGGTCTTCAAATTGCCTATAGAGCTTATCAAGAGAGAAAAAAATCACTTGAGCAACCACTCCGTTTACCTCCAGGACTAAATCTGACACATGATCAACTTTTCTTTGTTGGATTCTCACAGGTTAGACTGTACTATAATAATAATAATAAATAAATATTTATGAATGTATATATGTGAGTGGACATTGAAATTGGCACGAGCAGCAGCAGTCTGCCTCAAGCTTAAGCACAATTGTCAGATAATAGTTATAAGTGTGCACATACCTCTTTATTGCTATCACTTTCTTCATATCTCTCTGTTGATAGCAGTTTCTTCATGTCTATATATTTCTGTTCCAAACAGTCTCTATCTATACATTGCTCTCATTCTCTTCATGTCTCTCTCTTACTATCACTTTCTTTGTGTCTTTCTCTTGGTATCAGTCTCTTCATGTCTCACTCTTGCTCTCATTTTCTTCATGTCTCTCTCCAGCTCTCAGTTTCTTCATGTCTCTCCCTTGCTCTCAGTCTCTTTGTGTCTCTCCCTTGCTCTCAGTCTCTTCGTGTCTCTCCCTTGCTCTCAGTCTCTTCGTGTCTCTCCTTGCTCTCAGTCTCTTCGTGTCTCTCCCTTGCTCTAAGTCTCTTCGTGTCTCTCCCTTGCTCTCAGTCTCTTCGTGTCTCTCCCTTGCTCTCAGTCTCTTCGTGTCTCTCCCTTGCTCTCAGTCTCTTCGTGTCTCTCCCTTGCTCTCAGTCTCTTCGTGTCTCTCCCTTGCTCTCAGTCTCTTCGTGTCTCTCTCTTGCTCTCAGTCTCTTCGTGTCTCTCTCCTGCTCTCAGTCTCTTCGTGTCTCTCTCTTGCTCTCAGTCTCTTCATGCCTCTCTCTTACTATCACTTTCTTTGTGTCTTTCTCTTGGTATCAGTCTCTTCATGTCTCACTCTTGCTCTCAGTCTCTTCATGTCTCACTCTTGCTCTCAGTCTCTTCATGTCTCTCTCCAGCTCTCAGTCTCTTGGTGTCTCTCCCTTGCTCTCAGTCTCTTCGTGTCTCTCCCTTGCTCTCAGTCTCTTCGTGTCTCTCCCTTGCTCTCAGTCTCTTTGTGTCTCTCCCTTGCTCTCAGTCTCTTCGTGTCTCTCCCTTGCTCTCAGTCTCTTCGTGTCTCTCTCTTGCTCTCAGTCTCTTCGTGTCTCTCCCTTGCTCTCAGTCTCTTCGTGTCTCTCTCTTGCTCTCAGTCTCTTCGTGTCTCTCTCTTGCTCTCAGTCTCTTCGTGTCTCTCCCTCTCAGTCTCTCTCCCTTGTCTCTCTTCGTGTCTCTCTCTTGCTCTCAGTCTCTTCGTGTCTCTCTCTTGCTCTCAGTCTCTTCGTGTCTCTCCCTTGCTCTCAGTCTCTTCGTGTCTCTCCCTTGCTCTCAGTCTCTTCGTGTCTCTCCCCTGCTCTCAGTCTCTTTGTGTCTCTCCCTTGCTCTCAGTCTCTTCGTGTCTCTCCCTTGCTCTCAGTCTCTTCGTGTCTCTCTCTTGCTCTCAGTCTCTTTGTGTCTCTCCCTTGCTCTCAGTCTCTTTGTGTCTCTCTCTTGCTCTCAGTCTCTTTGTGTCTCTCTCTTGCTCTCAGTCTCTTCGTGTCTCTCCCTTGCTCTCAGTCTCTTCGTGTCTCTCCCTTGCTCTCAGTCTCTTTGTGTCTCTCCCCTGCTCTCAGTCTCTTTGTGTCTCTCCCTTGCTCTCAGTCTCTTCGTGTCTCTCCCTTGCTCTCAGTCTCTTCGTGTCTCTCCTTGCTCTCAGTCTCTTCGTGTCTCCCTTGCTCTCAGTCTCTTCGTGTCTCCCCTGCTCTCAGTCTCTTTGTGTCTCTCCCCTGCTCTCAGTCTCTTCGTGTCTCTCCCTTGCTCTCAGTCTCTTCGTGTCTCTCTCTTGCTCTCAGTCTCTTCGTGTCTCTCCCTTGCTCTCAGTCTCTTCGTGTCTCTCCCTTGCTCTCAGTCTCTTCGTGTCTCTCCCTTGCTCTCAGTCTCTTCGTGTCTCTCCCTTGCTCTCAGTCTCTTCGTGTCTATCCCCTGCTCTCAGTCTCTTCGTGTCTCTCCCCTGGTCTCAGTCTCTTCGTGTCTCTCTCTTGCTCTCAGTCTCTTCGTGACTCTCTCTTGCTCTCAGTCTCTTCGTGTCTCTCCCTTGCTCTCAGTCTCTTCGTGTCTCTCTCTTGCTCTCAGTCTCTTCGTGTCTCTCCCTTGCTCTCAGTCTCTTCGTGTCTCTCCCTTGCTCTCAGTCTCTTCGTGTCTCTCCCTTGCTCTCAGTCTCTTCGTGTCTCTCTCTTGCTCTCAGTCTCTTTGTGTCTCTCCCTTGCTCTCAGTCTCTTTGTGTCTCTCCCTTGCTCTCAGTCTCTTTGTGTCTCTCCCTTGCTCTCAGTCTCTTTGTGTCTCTCCCTTGCTCTCAGTCTCTTCGTGTCTCTCTCTTGCTCTCAGTCTCTTCGTGTCTCTCTCTTGCTCTCAATCTCTTCATGCCTCTCTCTTGCTCTCAGTCTCTTCATGCCTCTCTCTTACTATCACTTTCTTTGTGTCTTTCTCTTGGTATCAGTCTCTTAATGTCTCCTCTTGCTCTCAGTCTCTTAATGTCCTTTTTTTGCTCTCAGTCTCTTCATGTCTCTCTCCTGCTCTCAGTTTCTTAATGTCTCTCTCTTGCTCTCAGTTTCTTAATGTCTCTCTCTTGCTCTCAGTCTCTTCGTGTCTCTCTCTTGCTCTCAGTCTCTTCGTGTCTCTCTCTTGCTCTCAGTCTCTTCGTGTCTCTCTCTTGGTATCAGTCTCTTTGTGTCTCTCTCTTGCTCTCAGTCTCTGCATGTCTCTCTCCTGCTCTCAGTTTCTTAATGTCTCTCTCTTGCTCTCAGTCTCTTCGTGTCTCTCTCTTGCTCTCAATCTCTTCATGCCTCTCTCTTGCTCTCAGTCTCTTCATGCCTCTCTCTTACTATCACTTTCTTTGTGTCTTTCTCTTGGTATCAGTCTCTTAATGTCTCACTCTTGCTCTCAGTCTCTTAATGTCTCACTTTTGCTCTCAGTCTCTTCATGTCTCTCTCCTGCTCTCAGTTTCTTAATGTCTCTCTCTTGCTCTCAGTTTCTTAATGTCTCTCTCTTGCTCTCAGTCTCTTCGTGTCTCTCTCTTGCTCTCAGTCTCTTCGTGTCTTTCTCTTGCTCTCAGTCTCTTCGTGTCTCTCTCTTGGTATCAGTCTTTTTGTGTCTCTCTCTTGCTCTCAGTCTCTGCATGTCTCTCTCTTGCTCTCAGTTTCTTAATGTCTCTCTCTTGCTCTCAGTCTCTTCGTGTCTCTCTCTTGGTATGAGTCTCTTTGTGTCTCTCTCTTGCTCTCAATCTCTTCATGCCTCTCTCTTACTATCAGTTTCTTTGTGTCTTTCTCTTGGTATCAGTCTCTTAATGTCTCACTCTTGCTCTCAATCTCTTAATGTCTCACTCTTGCTCTCAGTCTCTTAATGTCTCACTCTTGCTCTCAGTTTCTTCATGTATCTCCCTTGCTCTCAGTCTCTTCCTGTCTCTCTCTTGCTCTCAGTCTCTTCGTGTCTCTCTCTTGCTCTCAGTCTCTTTGTGTCTCTCTCTCAGTCTCTTTGTGTCTCTCTCTTGCTCTCAGTCTCTTTGTATCTCTCTCTTGCTATCAGTCTCTTTATGTCAATCTCCTGATCTCAATCTTTTCACGTTTCTGTCTTGCTCTAAGTCTCTTCGTGTCTCTCTCTTGCTCTCATTTTATTTATGTCTCTCTCTTGCTCTCAGTCTCTTCGTGTCTCTCTCTTGCTCTCAGTCTCTTAATGTCTCACTCTTGCTCTCAGTCTCTTAATGTCTCACTCTTGCTCTCAGTCTCTTAATGTCTCACTCTTGCTCTCAGTCTCTTTGTATCTCTCTCTTGCTATCAGTCTCTTTATGTCAATCTCCTGATCTCAATCTCTTAATGTCTCACTCTTGCTCTCAGTCTCTTAATGTCTCACTCTTGCTCTCAGTCTCTTAATGTTTCACTCTTGCTCTCAGTCTCTTAATGTCTCACTTTTGCTCTCAGTCTCTTAATGTCTCACTCTTGCTCTCAGTCTCTTAATGTCTCACTCTTGCTCTCAGTCTCTTAATGTCTCACTCTTGCTCTCAGTCTCTTAATGTCTCACTCTTGCTCTCAGTCTTTTCATGTCTCTCTCTTGCTATCAGTCTCTTCATTAGATTATTGAAGATAATTAAATACCTACTGAGGAATTAATGTATATGTTTTTCTCATCTTTTTGCAGCATTGGTGTACAGTTTACAAAAGTTTAAAGGACCAAAAAAAAGATTTCAAATGGAAACATGCTCCTGGAATGCTCAGGTAAATTGTTTAATTCAGTTTTACTTCATAATTCTTTTTATTTATAATATTTCAAGAAAAAAGACAAAAACAAAGAAAAAATGCACCTACGACAAATACTACTACTATTACTACCATTGCTGCTGCTACTAATAGTAATACTCAATAGGAAAATTATATAGTAAAATAATCAGATCAGAATTAGAATATTTGGCCAAATTTAAAATGAATAACCAATAATATATCATCCAAGAAATTCAGACAACTTAAGACTATTACTACTTGGTGGAAAAGCAAGAGAAATAAGATGAAAGAAATGCTAGTCAAAAATGAATATTAATTGTCAAGGCTTCATCTAAGAAATTTAGACAACTTAAGACTATTACTACTTGGTGGAAAAGCAAGAGAAATAAGATAAAAGAAATACTAGTCAAAAATGAATAATAATTGACAAGGCTTCATCTGAGAAATTCAGACAACTTAAGACTATTACTACTTGGTGGAAAAGCAAGAGAAATAAGATGAAAGAAATACAAGTCAAAAATGAATAATAATTGCCAAGGCTTCATCTAAGAAATTCAGACAACTTAAGACTATTACTACTTGGTGGAAAAGCAAGAGAAATAAGATGAAAGAAATGCTAGTCAAAAATGAATAATAATTGCCAAGACTTCATCTAAGAAATTTTGACAAATTAAGACTATTACTACTTGGTGGAAAAGTAAGAGAAATAAGATGAAAGAAATGCTAGTCAAAAATGAATAATAATTGACATTGTGTTGTCTAAAAACTCAGACAAGTTACTATTACTATTGTTACTATTATTTGGAAACATAAATAAAATAACAATAAAGAATGAAAATATCAAAGACTACATAACTTGTGTTTCTTGCTATTGCTGGTATGATACAATAATGGCTGAATAATCAGACAAGAAATGAAGTCAAATGATATCTTTTTATCATGCTTTTAAGCCTCCATTAGTTGCATTGCTTCATTTGATTGGCATCGCTGTCAAGTTTTACAACATTTGACACTAAAAATGAACATGAATAGAAAATGTACATTAAGTAAATCCCCTGGTAATCCTAAAAGCTTTCTTTATTATAGTCTCTTTTCAATTCAGTTAAGCCTTAAATTCTTTGCAGTCAGTTCCATTATTGATATGCAGAGAAAAAGCAACTGTTGTTACCATTATTATGAATATATCATTGTGATATTCAAGCTGATATGTATTCCTATTCAAAACATGTGGACATTGACTGAAAATATATGTACAGTAACTTCTTTTATTCAAAATGTTTGTCCCCTTTTCAAAAGTTATTTACATTTATTCAATTCTTATTTTCTTTTATACAAATCTTAAGTACCTTTTTTTTTTTTTTAAAAAAAAAATATATGTATATAGATATTTATTCAAAATTAATTATACTAGAAAGACCTGTGAAAATTTAGTGGAATTCAAAATTTAGTTGCACTGAGATTTCAAAATGAACCCCAAAAGTCAAAAGTAGTGAAATGAAAGATTTAGTAGCATAAGGCATTCAAAAATGCTCTTGTTATATTAAGCGTTTGTTAGTGAAAGAAGGGACTAATGAGGATTAAATTGAACAATGTTTATTGTTAGTATGTCGTACACAGATGTTGATTGATGGGTGGAATGACTGTTTTGGTTGCCAGTCATCAGGATGATGGTCAGGTGTAAGGGTAGTGCTGGGAGTTGACTTAATTCTTGTGTTAGGTTTGGTTGAGGTCACAGGATATGGTTGATGCACGTTGGTTAATTGAAGCCATGGTGGTAGGTCGTTTTGCTGGTTAATAGGCCTGTTCTATGAATGGGGGTGATGTCAGATTGGTGTCATGGTGGTAGGTCAAGTGGGTTGAATGATAGTGGAGCTGGAGTCACTTGGTTGCAGAGTCAGAGTCACTGCATGCGATGGTGGCTTGGTTGCACTCAGAGTCGCTGCTTGCAGTGGTAGCGTGTTTGCGGAGTCAAAGCCACTGCTTATGGAATCGGAGTTGCTTGGTTGCAGAGTCAGAGTCACTGCTTGTGGAGTCAGTCACTTCCTTGCTGTTGTGGTGATGTTGAGATGTTATCAAGTCGTTATTTGCTGAGGTGGTAACATTGTCAACAATGAAGTTTTTTAGTTAGGTGGAGTCGAAGTTGAGATGTTTCGAGTCGAAGACGAATAGCTGCGATGTTTGGTCAAGCCTGGGAGGAGTAACAGTTGTTGAGAAGCATGGTCATGTTGACTGCTGATGAAGAAGGTAGCGACAGTGGTGGTGGCAGCAGCAGCAGTAGTACCCTGTGTGACAGCCAATGGCTGGCCGGGCCTCAACTAACATTTATTCTCAGAGACCTGCTTTTAAGCAAGTCTGGCTGTCTCCAGGGGCATCTTCTTTTCCAGCAGGAATGTTTGCAATTAGCCGTGGATGGAGCTTGCTTCATAGACCAGACATTTTGCATGGAGGCTAATGCATAATTTTTTCTTATTTTGTTCTTTGCCATCATGGTGTTCACATCCAGCCAGCATGCAGGATGAATCAGAAAGACATCTAATTGTAATGGAGTTTAACACTACCAAAAGTTAAAATAGATAGTGAAATTCAAAATTATTAGTACTGAGATTTCAAAAGTAATCCCAAAAAGTTAAGCATCCTGGGTATGATGATAAACTACATCCAGCAGCAAGTCCTCTGATCAGGAGGTTTTGAGGAGCATGGAACCACCTCTTAATTGCTGGTGTTCTCACATCCACCCTAACCCAGAGTGGTAGCACCTGTTAGGGTCCCAGATGGGGGCAAATAGTTAACCCCAAACTTGGTACAAAGCATTATAAAAGTTTAAAAATAGGTTTTAATACCAGCAATACATTTTTGTCAAAATTTATTACCAGCAATGAATTTTTGAAGAAAAAATTATTACCAGCAATAGATTTTTGATGAAAAATATATCATATTATTTACATTATTCGTCTGAGGCTACAGAAAATTGATCTGACAATTCTCAATTTAGCCTGGCACTTCGTGAATTTGGTCTGAGATTTGTTGAATTTAGTCAATTTAAATAATAGTACAAAATGCCCGGAAAATAACAACGTAACTGAAAAGTAAAAATGTGAATGTGTCTATATTTCTGAGATGAGGTATTATGTACACTATTTACATTATTTGGACTATTGTCCTCATCTTTGTGGCAACATGGCACGGTGGATAAAGGCGTTAGTTAGATCCAATGACAGGACCCAAAGAGTGTGAGTTCAATACCTGGTTAAGGCAGTGGAGAACTTTCAGAGGGAAATTAACAGGTGATAACTGACATCCATTAGACATGGCATGTGGAACTAGAACAGTCTACCCCAGTGAGCGAAATAAAGGGTTCAGTTTGACATTCCAACCACCTGAAGAAGACCGGAGCATATAACGGCCGAAACGTTGTAATAAATATGGCGACAAAGATGAGGGCAATAGTCCAAATAATGTAAATAATATACAAAATACCTCATCTCAGAAATATAGACAAAAAAATATCACTAGCAATACATTTTATGGAAAAAATATTACCAGCAATAAAAATGTTGTCAGCATTAAATAACCCATTGAGGTTGATATGACGTAAAACAAAATAAACCAAACCAATCTAAACCAAAGAATACATACTCTACTCATACGAATCTATCCTAAAAATGTTGTCGGCATTAAATAACCCATTGAGTTTGATATGCCGTAAAACAAAATAAACCAAACCAATCTAAACCAAAGAATACATATTCTATTCATATGAATCTATCCTAAAAATTTTGTTGGCATTAAATAACCCATTGAAGTTCATATGACGTAAAACAAAACAAAGAAAGAAACCAAAAAGTTGAAAGTTGTAAAATGAAAGATTTAGTAGCATTGAGCAATCAAAAGTGCTCCTAATAGTTAAAAACCGTGATATTCAAAATTTGGTATCATAGAGTTTCAAGATAATAGTTTTAAGATGAAAAGTTTTATAAAATTTTCTATGTATCTTTATTAATTCTTGACTATTTTACTTTCATCTGTTTTTCTTCTTTGCTTATTTTTGTGTTATTTTTATGCTCTGTGCCTGTTGAGTCAGTCAGTTAAGTTCCATACGTGATACACGTTTAGGCAATCATGTCTCTTTCAATTCATGACTGACTAGGCTAGGGGTTGGTAACCCCCACCCCACCTGTGAAAAAGGGGTTGTAGGATGGAAAATAATTCATCACCCACAAGGGCACAAAGATTTTTTTAGATTCTCTTAAGACTGGAAAGTGAAAACTGGGCAGCTCCTGCCCAAATATAGCAGCAATACTCCATTTTTGGTCTGATTTGACTCTTGTTAAGATAGCAGTAGGAGTCAGGTACTTACTGGAGTGGTACAGGGAACTGACAATTTTTCCAGCATCTTTAGCAATGCATTGTATCAGGTCATCCCATAAGTTCTGTCCGAATTTTGAATAAAGAAAACAAGTGACCATATGTTACATTTAATTACAGATTCAATCAACAATGTATTTTCCTTGATTATCTATGACTTCCTTCCATCTATTAATAAGCTTACTAATTCCATTACTGTAAAATTCTTTTGGCTTACAACACTTAACATTTCAATGAAAGATCCATTTTTCGTCACCAGTCACAAGTCTATCCAAAAAAAGATGAAACAAGTTGGCGAGAATGGAGAGAAGTGCAGATGTCAACTCGGTATTTGAGGTTGTTTTCAGACAATTCATGAGGCACCCATTTTCCAAGTTTAGGAACTTTTCCAAGTTGTTGAAGATGACGATGAACCCATTGAGGTTGATATGATGTAAAACAAAATAAACCAAACCAATCTAAACCAGAGAATACATATTCTATTCATACGAATCTATCCTAACTGAGAACCACTGCCAATTCCTCAACTGATAAAGCAGGATTTTCTTCAAGGGCTGCTTCAAGAAGCTTTTCATCAAACTCAACTGGACGTCCAGTTCGATCTTCATCTTCAAGGGTGAAATCTCCACCTCTGAATTTTGCAAACCATCTTCTGCAAGTTCTTTCTTTCACACATTCCTCTCCATAAACTGAGTGAATGTTTCTAGCCGCTTCGGCTGCTGAGTTTTCTTTCTTGAACTCATAAAGCAATATGTGTCTCAAATGATTCTTGGGTACTTCCATGTTAGCAGGGTTTTTATAAAACAAAATTTAATTTTATTGTTCTCTGAAATAAAATTTGATCAGTTTAAATGCATCTAAACATAAAAATAATGTTCAGCTCCATTAGACATTATAAAATACTCTTTAAATTTTGTTCATTTTAACAAAAAGTTAAAATTCGGATGGAACTTATGGGATGAATTGATATCTATGAGTTCCTCTTAAGGTCTGAACTGAGCTTAAGTTCCAAATTAAAAGAGTAACAATTTTGTTAATTCCCAAACAGTTTGTCTCGGACTTTCCTCAACTATAGCTTGTAGCAATTCAATATTGATCGATCTTGTCATCTAGATTGAGACTAATCTTTGAGAGAAAAATTGCCCAATTGAAACGGACCAAACAACTGTTGTCATATATGGTAATTTTAAATCTCCATTTTTATAGACAGAAGTAATATTTCTTGCAGCTTCCATTACTGGAGAGCTTTTTAAAAAATCTGTACAGGTTGCTTTGTGGTATCCATCCTCTTATATGGCAGTGAATTTTGGATAATTCCCGTAAGGATGAGGGGAAAAAAAAACCAAACTAAAAGCAGCAGAAATGTTGTTCTACAGAAGGATACTGAGAATTCCATGGATGGAGCAAGTAAAATGTAAATGACAACAGAAAGAACACTTGTACCCAAAATCAGGAAAATAAATTCCTTGGAATCATAATGACAAAGGAGGGTTTGAAAAATTTAACCCTCCCAAGGCTTACTTAGGGCAAGAAAGATAGAAGTCATCAAGCAATTTACCTGATAAACTTCTGTGAATAGATGGCAAAATGGGAGAAAAACTGCACTAGATAGAAAAGTCATTGACAGCCTTGATTACCTATGTCCTGAAGGGACACAGCATATAGAAGAGGAAGATGACATACAGTACATGATGTACTAAAAAGAGAACAAGACGAGATATCCCTAGACATGGACATTGGAATGAGAACAATCTACCCCCATAGATTAAATTACATTATAATATAATTATTATTGCCTCATGGAAACAGGGCAAGCAATAACTGAACAGTACTAAAAATAGAACAAGATGAGATATCCCTAGACATGGACAGTGGAATGAGATAAATTTAGCCCCATAGATTAATGAAAGGTTTCAGTATGAAATTCCTTGAAGGTTACCAGGATCAACAAGAACCTAAAGAAGGCCAAAGAACACAACGTCCAAAGCATTGTAATAATAACACAAAAGATGATATTAGTCTGAATATAAAGTATGTCAATAATGGTATATGTAAATATTGATACATATTTTTTGGAAGAAAAGTACCTTTGTTTTAAATAATTTTGTAATCAAAACCCTGTAATGAATTTCACTTGGATTTTTACAAATATGTTATTAAATGTCTGTTTTTCTTTTCTTTTTATATAGGGTGAGAGGCTCTGTGTCAAATATGAAAACATATAGTGATGTATTTCATTGCAGTGAAAAAGCTAAACTGAATCCTCCGAAGAAATGCACTTTCTGGTGACCATAGTTTTATATTAAATTGTCTTTTCATAAACATTTTAATAATCTTTTTAATAAACAAACCTTTGTATTAAAATTACATTGTCTTTTTTGTTTTTTGTGGCTACTTTTTTTTCAGAGGTTTAGAATATTCACTTTATCTGTCGGCATCAAATCAGATCTTCAAAGTTTACAGGGATATTTAATTTTATCATTCTCCCTGGCACTGATTCAAGACAAAAATTTGGATGGCATTTGAACGTTCAGTCAGTCAGTTATGTGCCATGCGTGATACATGCTTAGGCGATTATGTATCTTTAGATACATTACTGACAAGGCAGATTTTTTCCCACAGTAGTTTCCCATTTCTTTATGTGGGAGACCAGTTGCTATCCAAGGCTATAGAACTCAGTCTGTCTTGCTATTTACCCATAGCTAGGGGGAGAAGAAGAAGATTCATACTTTTCCCAAGGGTATTAGCACGTAAGTGAATGTAATGGATTTGACTGAAATTTGAACTCGGCTCTCCAATTTCACAATTCGAGCCGCTATCCATTACTCCACCAGTAGTATTAAATATTGAATTGACTTTCCTCTCATTATTATTCTTTTATGTACTGTGTCCCATCAGGATATAGGTGATTATGACTCTCCACAATTTCTCATCCTTTGTAGCTCTTGATAAATTTTGTCTTTTTTTAAAAGTAAGAGTAATTAGTAAGAAGGGTCACTCAAGGAAGAGGGTTACGTTAAGAGGCAGTTTATAGGAGTTTAGAGGAGGGGAAGATAATGCTTTAACCCTGGACTTGAACAGGTTAAAATTGTAATGATCTGGGAAACATCCTCTTGGGAGTCAGTTCCACAGAGTAGTGGTTCGTGGGAAGAAGCTGTTTGACTGGAACTTAATATGGAGGGATGCTTTGTTGATGCTTTGGTAGAATATGTCTTTTTGTTCATTTTATTCAGTTAGTGTATTTTGCACCACCACTGTGCTCACCACTCCCCTCCATCTCACAGTTGTGGTTCCTTGTGATATTCTTGGCAGAATAGTGCAATGGCTTGCCAATTCCTTTTGCACTGGGGATGCTGAGGTTCCCACCATCTCTCCTCTCACAGGTGGATTTGTTTTTTGAAGTTACCTTCTTCTAGTGGTTTGAATTCAGTTTTCTTCTCCTAGACCGGTTTCCAGACAAGGCTACAGGACCCAGTGTGTTTTGCTATTTTACCCATAGCTGGGAGGAGAAGAGATGGCTTCATACATTTCCCAAGTGTATTAGCACATAAATGAATGTAATGAAGTCGACCGGAATTTGAACTCTGTTCTCTAATTCCTCAATCCAAACTGCTAACCATTAATCTACCATGCCTCGTCTTTTTGTTATCTCTCCTAAACCCTGTTTTATCATCCATTTACTCAAGTTCACTAAGTATGTTTTGCGTTGTATTCCTCTGTCCCTCTTGCTTTCAATCTATCCTGTGGGTATCAAATTTTCCAAGCCCTCTTCCCTCATATGATATAAAAGTTCTTTTTCTCCCTTTCCTAGACTGGTTTCCACCCAAGGCTACAGGACCCAGTCTGTTTTGCTATTTTATCCATAGCTGGGGGGAGAAGAGATGGCTTCATACATTTCCCAAGTGTATTAACACATAAATGAATGTAATGAACTCGACCGGAATTTGAACTCTGTTCTCTAATTCCTCAATCCAAACTGCTAACCATTAATCTACCATGCCTCGTCTTTTTGTTATCTCTCCTAAACCCTGTAGAACAGCATTTCTGTTGCTTCAGGTCTCTTCTGCATCTTTGAAGAGATTGTCCAGCATTCACTGCCGTACTGGAGGGCAGATATCACATAAAAGTTTTCCTATCTTTTAATACTCTGCTTAGCTTTTGGAGTGCATCTTTGGTTATCGCAATGTGTCTTCGAATTTCAGTGTCACACATTCCATCCTCTGTTAAAACGCTTTGTAGATATTTAAATTTTTGTACTTGTTTGGTGTTGGTATCTCCGATTTGTGATTTGGACTCATCCTACCAATGCATAATACAGTATGTCCCATGAGCTCAGTTACATACTTTAGTTGGTTGGTTGATTTCATTTACTAGCATATCAACCTCTATGGGTTAATGCAGGAATCTAAATATTTTAAACATATTTTATGGCTTCAACTAAATATACTTTGAACACAATTATATGCCTACAGCTACATATAAAATATGTTGTTGGACATTTTGCTATAAATAGTTGATTAGGTAGGTATTGGTATTTTTTATATAAAAATGTATTACTGGTATTTTTACTATAAAAATGTATTTTTATATTTTCATATTGTTTTGATTTGTTTGGAGGGAGGGCACTATTTGCCCGTAGTTGGGACCCTAACAAGTGCTACTACAACGGGTCAGGGTGGACCTGGAAACAACAGCAATTAAGAGGTAGTTTCACACTTCAATCTCTCGATCAGAGGCCTTGCTGCCGGATGTAGTTTATCATCATACTCAGGACTATGCATACTTCGGGTTGGGTTATAATAATTAATTCTTTTACTATATACACATATATTGTTTGTTTGTTTTTCTTGCTAGGAACTGGCGTTATTTAAATATGTACTTTATTGCTGGAGTGGCTTTCTGCTGCTGCTGGTCAGCATGTGTTGGTTAATCTATAGGGACAAACATTATTATTTACATTTAAAATTTACCTGTGTATAGTGTGATCTATAACTGAAAATAGATGATCATTGACCTTTGAAAAATTGTATAGTGCAACACCTATTTTTTGCATAAAAATACTCATCATAAAAACTTGCACTTGTGAGCATTTTCGGTATTTTAAATGATAACCCAAATAGCAAAATTAGTATTTAGAAAGTTTGAGCTTTCAAAAGTTGCCCAATCTGGTACGTTGAAGTGCTAACTGAATTTCATTTCGCCATTTTCTGTTCACTCAATTATCTCAAGACTGGTTGGTGAATTTTATTGATGGATTTGTTTTTTTATGGTTTATCAAGTTATTTAAAGTTTGCAAGTTATTTAAAGCCAGAAAGTATTTTTAGATTATAAGAATGTTTTTGGAGATAATAAGGATTTCCTGATACAAATCCTACTAATTAACCCATAAGTGGAGGGAGAAGAGGTGGCTTCATACATTTCTGTTGCATAAGAGTAAGTGTTGTTACCGACACTGTGGTTTGAAAATAGATCACAAGTGAGTAACACGGGCGATTCCATTATTAAGTAGATCACATGACCATAAAGGAAGTGAATAAATAGGAAGTAGCATGATGACTATATGATCACGGTTCACTCCTTCTTGTCTATCCATTATTGCTATACTCTACGGATTACGACTTTCTTTTGATCATTATGCTATTTGGCAATTACTACTTGAACCAGTATTACTAGTGTGGATATTATTGAAAGGCGTTACTACTAGTACCGGCGTCTACGAAGTCTCGAATATAACAAGCATATTTGGAAATGATAATGAGCTTTTGCTTGACATAAAAAAAAGTGACAAGCTAAGCCATCCAACATCACAAAAGTAGCGACGAGGATTCGCAAGGAATCATAAAACTTTCCTAAGAGTATTTGCCCGTAAGTGAATATAATGAACCCAACTGAAATTCGAACTCGGCTTTCTGATTACCAATTTCGGGCCTTTATGCATTACACCACCCTCACATCCAAGGTTAAAGCAATTGGTATTCCCAGGCAGTCACCCATCTAGGTACTCACCAATCTCGACGGTGCATAACTTCGGTGATTTCTACGACAACTAGTGATTCAACGTGATGTGGCCGTAAGCCCTTTGTTAGTGGAAGAGAATCTATTCGGAGTCAGAGTTATATCACCGCCGCCATATATTAAAGGCACGTAAAACAGGCATTCGACATTCCCCATTAAGGAGTTAAATATAGAAATCGGCTTGTAAACACACAACACGACTAATGACCAAGCCTTCCACCGACCAGCTCGTAACAAGATGAAAGACAAACACCATATCGGGAAATAAGTACACAAACTCTGTTTCCCATAGATGTTTTATTCGCAGGTAGGTGAGGCTGGACAACTTTTCTATGTAGATCTCATAGATCAGGTCTTGCTAACTCCTTGCCCATCTACACATCCTGGTATTCAGCTGGAAATACGAACGGGTGGCGTCGGAACTACGTAATGTATAAGTCCAATCTCAAGTATGATTTTTAATATACACAAGGACTTGGAAATAATCAGTGTCCCGTGTAGGATATCAGTTGAGGAAAGACCTTTGACCTTACTTCCGCTGCATCAGTGTGTGAGCGGATATCAGAACTGGTGATATCATAAAAAGGAAATGCATTCAGTGGCTAAAATAAATAAGACGTACAGGTGTCCTGAGTGGAAGGAAATGTGTGCTTGCGTGGGCGCATGCGAGAAGAGGCGTGGCTACACGAAGTTGCATAGACGACATACTGGAAGAAGGCATAGTCATGTGAAGTTTCTAGGTGTCCAAATGTTATATAACTGGTCTGATTCTTGATCTGAACAGTGAGGCTGGTTCACCGAAGATTTGTCTCCGTCAATTCTTGTGTGCGCAATCTTAACCTCTTTGGTTCTCCCCCACTCTACCCATTCGCCACAACTCAAACAATAAAGATATATATATATATATATATATATATATATAAGCGTTTCACCCCAAGCAAGGGGGGGAGCCACTAGGACGCAAGGGGTTACAGAAGATTTGGAGCAAGATCAGATAGGAGTGATAGAAGAAAGGATGAGGAGAAGGATAGTGGATAGATCAAGGCAACGGGAGATATCGATTGACATTACATTTGAATAGTTGGAGATTATAGCTCTCAGGGAAACTGGAATAGGGAAGGGAGTTCCACAGGGGAGAGGTGCGAGACATGAAGCTATTGGAGTAGAAGAGACGGCTACATTTAGTAGTTTCGACAGTGAAAGGGTGAGAGCGGGATGCCAGCCTCGTAGGGCGCTTGAACTCAGGAAGCCTGGGAACCAGCGAATGCAGCTCCTCGGAGCAATTGCTATGAAAGTATTTGTAAAAAAGACAGAGAGAGGCGACGGCGTGCCTGTGAGAAAGTAACTGTAGACGAGATGCCAGATCAGGGCCAATTATATTGCATATCCGCCTCTGGGGCTTATCAAGAACCCCGAGGCAAACAGAAGGGGCTCCAGACCATATATGGCAGCAATAATCCATGCAAGGGTGAATTGTTGATTTGTAGATCTGGAGGATCGATTCCGGGGAGAAAAATTTTCTGGCGCAGCACACGGAGCCAACTTTCCTTGCGGTGGACGAAGCAATTGACTCAATGTATTTGTTCCATCTCAGGTCAGCCGTCAACGTAAGACCGAGCAGCCGCAGAGAATTGCTCTCGAGAAGTTGAACGTCAGACATTCTAATGGAGGGCAGGGAAGGATCTCTGTGGTGATTAATAGAGAGCAGTTTTGTTTTTGAAGCGTTAAAGTTGACCAGCCAATTCCTGCCTCAGTTCACAACCAATTGGATGTCCTTTTCGAGACGCACGGCCAGGTTAGTTTTGTCAGCGACACTAGATTTGTTTTTGAGGCAGGAGTAAATTGTGGTGTCATCCGCGTAGATGTCAACTTGAGAATTTATGGCGTCAGGAAGGTCATTTGTGTAGATAAGGAATAGTGTGGGGCCTCGGGTGGAGCCTTGAGGATCACCTGCGTTCATGGGATAAGAACTGGAGTTTGTTTGAGTTGTGTGTGTTGTATGTGTGCGTCTGTCGCCTCATTTGAGCCCAGCAGCAATATACAACATCGCTTTGTTGTCACTTGGCCTTTAAAAAAGCCCCCCACCCATTTCTTTATTTCCCCGTTCCTCTTTGATCAAAGTAAATGCCATTTACAAGACTTAGACGACTTCCAAAGAAATGGCTATGAAACAGAAGAATTTAAGATTGAGATAAAACAACCGCTTCCTTTTTCTATATATTTTTTATAGTATCAAAGGTTTAGATAATGTCGCAGCAAAGCCACTCCCCCGCAAAAAAATATATAATTTATGGATGAACATCGTAAAAGTAGTGGTTGATGTAGCTCACTCATTCTTATAAATCATTTGAAAAACAATACAGATTTAAGTGGATTAAAAGAAAAGGAGATATCTACATTTTAAACTAAGTCCACCTATATTATTTACACTTTATATGTGGGCTATTGTCCTTATTTTTGTTATCAAAATGTTTTGGCCGTTGCACTCTCCGGCCCTCATCAAGTGTATATTGATCTCAATGAGCATTTTATCACTTTTATTTAATTTTATTTTTATTTAAATTTACTTATTTATTTTATTTAAATTAAATAAAATAAGCATCTAACGTCGCATGGCCA